TCTGCCTCGTCTCCCTCCAGGTATCAGATTCGGCGGATATCTCGCAGGGTTTCGCCGGCTGCCGTTGTATTAATCTCACGACATCGCGCTCCTCTCTCATTGGGTCATCCGTCGTTGAAGGTCCCAAACACAGTGATTCGTCAGGTCGAAATCCGGTCGCAATCATCGCCATCTGTTTAAACGCTATCTACCAGGCAACGGAACGAATCAATCTGCTTCAGGACGAGAAGCTTTCTAGTTTAACTATCAGGGGGGAGGTGATGTCGCGTTCCACCGTCATGATTACTTTTTTGGCTGCTATCAACTCGACGAGCGCAGGGTGTGCAGGAACCGTGCTCTCGTCCTTTGGAGCGGAAGTCCGGAATGTCGGGCCAAGCAGCCAATTGGATAGCTTGTACAATGATTTCAAGCCTAGAGAGCAGTGGTTGGCTGGGTTATCCGCCGATTTCACGTATCGCCACTGGTGCACTTTGGTCTCTTCTTGGGTCGGCTTGGGTTATCCGCCGATTTCACGTATCGCCACTGGTGCACTTTGGTCTCTTCGTGCACTACCGCAAGACGATTGGAAACAAATGTACTGAACCTAGTACTGACGTTGTTCAGATAGTGTATCACGATGGCAGAGTCGGTCCAGAAAGTGATACAATCCTCGAATATACGGAAGCATTGCCGCAACTGCTTAGCTATACGCACCGCAAGCACGGCCGCGTTTGCGGGGTATCGAAACGCATTTTAGTGGGGCGACCCGGGCTTTGGCACAAAGCAATTCCGTTTTGCGCTCGCCATTCACGTGCTGCCAACATACTACTGCTACTGCTACTGCTCCGTATCCCGTTTCAGACGCGTCGGAGAATAGGTGCAATTCGCCCTTTGTCGCTTGACCGTTCCGGCTGAGTCGACGCCGTATCCTTATCTCTCCTAGCCTACTGAGGCTAGTCAACCATTGCTCCCAACCCGTCCAGTCCTGTTCGCCTAGGGGTTGATCCCACTCGGCCCTTTTTCGACACAATTGCTG